CTTGGGGCACCTATGTCCAGTTGGCAGTAGAACCGTACATGTGGTCATTCCATGTCCCTGCGAACCCAACAAATAAAAATGATCGTTTTACCATGATTGATACTTACAATTTCGACTGTAGATTGTTTCAAAATTTTACTGTTGACAATTATTCTTTAAAATTACTATCATGCACAGCGATATAGAAAAACAACACGAGAGAAATTTGAAAGTGGGGAGCGCTTAACTATGTGAAGGTTGGTACCGAAGTGGTGGCTGTGGTGCGCGCGCCCCGCGCCCCCCCCGCCGCGCCCGCGCCCGCCCTCTGCCGGCCAATCGGCAGTCGGCTCCATCGATGCTTTCGAAAGAGATAGAGGAAAATCGCGTCTGTTTCTATTTTAATCTTTTGAACTGTTTTACCACATTTTTGTAGTTTTACTATTGACTGCGAAGGCTTGTGGAACCGTCGGGAAGTATAATCCCGCACTAGTACGTTCGATTTTTGTCAGTGTGCACAAGTTTTCTTTGCGAGTAGGCTAAGGGAGCATACAACTTTCACGACCGATCTCAGGTGAGGTGTTTGACTTCTTAAAATCGAATTGTTCGTTGTTCGAGACATTTTCCTTATCGGGGCGTCTTTCTAAGTCACTTCGATAGATTTTACTGTTAAGTAAAACACTCAGAGTGTCTATATAAACTTCTCTGTACCGCTGGATGAGGTTATGTTCTCCACTAGTGAAACTATAGCACTTGTATAATTATGTGTTTCACTTCTCTTTTTCAACTACCATAGTCTTATTTGGTGTACGCACCAGCTTCTTTACATCACCAGTGCTATAGAGTTAAACTTTATTCTATGTTTTGCATCAACAGGTGACGCACTTGAGCTTCTGTGTTTTTTGATCATTACTCCTTGAGGATTTGTGGATTAGGAATTTTGGTATCCCAGCTCTAAGATTCCATCTGGAGGTAAGAATCTTATTTGTTTTCTAATTATTGTGCTTTAATTTATCTGATTCAGTTTTAATTGGGGTAATTGTTTTCAGGAAACAAGAAGTTACGATGTGGATGTTTAAACCAACGACGTCACTGGTCTTGCTTGAGTCACCACTTCCTACCTGCCAGTATGAAGGCCTCATTAAAGTTAAGTACTCTATTTGGTATCTTGTTTACTTGTCACTGTCACCGAATTTCAATGTAATTCTTTTTCATATGTGTTATATGCTCTTCTGTCTTGTTCTCTTAAAATCTATTGCCGAGTCTTACCTCTGTTGAATTGCTTTTATCACTGATGGGTTTCTCTCTATTTATCATGTTTGTGTTTAAACTCTTTCCTGTTTTGTTTCGAATTGTTTGGTTTTTGCCATGTCTGTGTGTGTCCATGTGCCCTGAACATAATTTGCCTCTGTGTGTTGCTCCGTGAGTCTTGACATTTGATATTGTTTTGAACGATGTTGCTCTGTTTTGTTGTTGTTGTTTCTCTTTGCAAATTGAATTCTTTTTGAACTGCTTATTGTTTTGTTTTTGCTCTTTGAATCTCTTCTGTTGTTCTTTACTGAAACTACTGCAAATTATTTTCGATTCTTCTGTTTGAGTGTACCCTGCCTAGTGCTTTTTTGATCTCTGTGTGTGTTGCGATTTGACATTTGACTGATTGCACCTTGAATTCTGAACGGTATCTTGCTGGTTGTTTTGTTTTACTCGTGTTGACTACCTGACTTGTCCTTGACTTGGTTATTTTCCATGATGTTGAGTGTATTTCTCTGCTATTCTGAAGTGAAATTATTGCAAATGATTTTTGATTCTTCTGTTGTGTGTGTAC